TAATATATGTGTGTGTACTGTGTATATTTATTATGTATATATATATATATATATATAAATGCATACACATGCACATATATATTTAAGAAAAATATGTTATATTTGTATATTAAATATATTTATATATAATATATAAATTATATAAATATATACATGTAAATACATGAGTATGTATGAGTGTGTATTTATATACAGTATACATAATAAATATACACAATACACACACACATATAGGCTATATTATGTACACAAAAACTTTTATTTCGGATGCGATTAATCACGATTAATCGTTTGACAGCACTAAAAATATAGATATATAATTATTAAACATTTTAAAAATATTATATATATATATGTGTGTGTGTGTGTGTGTGTGTGTGTGAAATTACTAATTGTATTTATATATGCATATATATTGATTAAAACTGAAAATAATTTAACATTATATCTAATATTTTGAATAATTTTAAATAATATATTGTCATTTTAAATAATCATTAATAGATAATAAATACTTTTCATTCTCAGAAAGAATTGTTTTATTCTCTTTTTGTGTGAAACCTTTACATATAATGAATCAAAGAGATTATTAATAGAGGCAATTATTAGTTCTATCAACATTTACAACAATGACATTATACTGTGGAATATAGTATTCCTCTCCCTGTGCTATTTATACTGTACATTCTAGCAGATTTAGTATTCCATATATTATATTCTTACAAAAGAAAAGAAAAATCTGCATGTACCGAGTGTTTATACTGCATAGTATGAGTAGTTTAGCTTTAGGTCTATGCTGTTTCTAATATAGCCATACTGTTTTGATGCTGACATTAATAAGGAGTTTCTTAAATGTGGATACACCTACTATCTAGAAATGCTAGCATGAGCAGATTTGCATTTGTTTGAGAAGATTCTCACAGGATTCATGTTGTGAATGAATATTTATATACAAACTATAGCAGGCTGTTTGTGCGTTTTCATATTTAATTAATGGAGCATGTGGGATGCATAAAATTAGCATGTTTTAAAGGTTCCTTGTCTTTTTATGAATTCAGGTATTCATATCTGCTGGATTGCTTCCTGCTTTGGCTGCAGTTTGTGTCCTCTGAGAAGTCCTGTAAGTCAATATGAATGATGAATTATAGGAGATTGAGCCTGGCATTGTCAGTGACGGAGAGGGATGAACAGGCCTTCAGAACGTCTGAAAGAGATGGAAAATTACTGTAGCCATCTTCCCCCGTTCTCCTTTCACATGCGACATTACCACATGAATTCATCAAGGCTTTAACGTGAAAATAATAGCTCTGCAGTGTGTCTGAAT